TCTACCTCGTTACTCAATTCCACTATTCTGTTTTTAAGTGTCTCAATATTGCTATCTTTATACTTCTTTTCATCAGTCAACTTCTCAATCTGCTCCTTCAAAATGCCTATTTTCTTGTTGAATTCATCCACCTTGAGCTGCTGATTTCCCATTTCAATCAGTGGCTTCACCTTCTTGTACAATTTCCACCAAAGTGTCCTGTTCAATGCCACGTATCCACTCACATTCTTGCATATCACCTGGATGCTGTCGTTGTAGATCATTTCGTAATTCTTCTTGCGCAGTTCAATCCGATACCTGAATATGCCCTGGGCTGCCTCGGCCAGTCTCGTCAAATAGAGAAGTCTCTTTTCTTCCAAATCACCCAAAATGCCCTGTTTGAAGAATATTCTGCTTTTACCCGTTTTGTAGTCATTTTGGTCCAGAAACCCCTTCTTCACGAATTGAGCGAGTATCCTGTGACACATCTCCTCCCTTGGCACCTTTTCAGTCTCATCTACGATGTAGTTGTACCTGTTACACACTTCTGTAAATGTGAGTCTTGATGGATACCCAAGTCTGCTGATTCTGAGACCTTCCAGAATTCCATTGCATTTCAACTGATCCAAAATAAGTCGCTTATCCAACATTCCTGCTCTTTTGTTCAAATTGGGCAGAATGCACCTAACAAAATGAGGTCGTGTTGTTCCCAACATCGTCATCAGATTCCTGAGCTGCTCCCTGTGCCCCTGGGCCACTGTCCTGAAAATGCCTTTTTTCTTTGAGTCGCTTATCTTCCCAATCAGCTCGTCCACCTCCTCTGATGAAATGTGCTTGTTCTTGTCTATCCAGTTCTCCACCGTGTACGTCACATCACCAGCATAGTGCTTCAGACTGAACTGTGTGTTGTTTCTTGGTATCTTTGTCACAACTTGTCCACTTTGGTTATTTGTTATTTTTATGCTTAATACTTTTGTTATCACAGTTTGATCTGTTGCCCCTGGCATCACACACTCTTCGTCCAAATAGCTTAGAACTCCAATTGGGTTGTTTGACTCAATGGCCCTGATACACGGCTCCAAATCCAATCCAAAGTCGATGTAGTCCCATTCGATTCCCTCTGCCTTGTACACCCTTTGCTCTTCCTCAAACATCTTCGTATTGAAATACTGCTGCAACTTCTCATTCGTGTAGTTTATCAGCAGCTGTTCAAATGAATTCTCTTTGAATATTTCAAATCCAGCAATATCGAGAATTCCAATGAATGTCTCGTAGGTGCTGGTCTGAAATGACTTGTTGATTCCATCAATCAGCTCACTGAACAATTTGCTGTAGAGATTCTTGATGAATGCTTCAACCAGTTTCTGACTTGTTTCCCCTGTTCTGGTGATGTTGACTATTTCTCTACCTGCTACCAGTTTTGGGTTGAATAGGGCACCAGCCAACTTCTCTGGCTCGAATTCAAGCAGTTCGCTTATCATTTTCAGAAGATCACTGTTCAGAACCTCTGGCTTTGATCCATCAGCAAATTTCAGGTTACTCATATGCATGATGCCAGCAATGATTCTGAAGAATGCCATGAAGTCGAGATTGAACAGTTTGAAACAGCTGATCAGATTCAGACACTCTGCCTCATCATCAATTCCATGGGCTGTTTCAGCCCCATCCCGTGTTATTGCGAAATCACGGTATGTTTTACCAGTCAGGTGCAACTTACTTTTGATTTCTTCTGGTGCATTCAACACGTAGTAGAAAATGTGGTAGCTTCGCTCATTTGGACCCAATGACGTGATTCTGGATACTTCTAACAGGTATTTCTCAATCTTCCCGCCTACAATCATTTTGTTAGCGAAGAAGACCCTAATGAATTTGCCAAAACGAGAGCTATTCTCATTCTTGACAGTTTTTGTATTTCCAAAGGCCTCAATCAGCGGATTGGCCCTTAGAAGCAGATTGTGTACGTTATTTCTGTTGTCCCTGTTTGTGTAGCTCAGGTATTCGATGATTTTCTTAGTGTTTTCTGTTTTGCCTGCACCTGATTCTCCTGTGATCAGAATGGACTGGTTTACACCTGAGCCAACCATGAGATCGTACGCCTGATTAATTGTCATGTAAATGTGGGGACTAATGTGCTTCTTAATTTCAATCTTCCTTTTGGTTTCGTCAGAGTAGATTTCGTCCATTGGCTTGTACGGATTCACCGAAACCATGAACATTCCACTGGTCGTGTAGATCTGATCCATTTCGTACCTGTTTTTCAGCGTATCCAACACACTTGGCTCATTCAAATAGCTCAGTTGCGCCAGGTCGTCCACGCTCGAGAGCTTCTTGGAGTTGACCTTGAAGACGTCGTCTGTTTTGTAGGTGGACCCATCGCAACAGGTCACCGTTGAAATATCCTCGCTCTGAACGTACTTCATGACGTACTCATCCTCTGTATCATGGACCCAAACTGCCTTCTTGTTCTCTCCTGTTTTGTTTGAATTCATGTTAACTTCCATGGGTTAAAATTGATATTTTGTTTGTTTCCTTTATGCTTATTAGAATTCATGCATTAGTCTCTGAAATGCTTTCAGGCGACTGGTTTCCTTCACCGAATGCTTTTTGTGACTGCTTTTGGTGAATTGTTTGCATAATGCATGAAACTGTATACATTGATCAGGAGTATAGAATTCTATTTCGTACTTTTTGTTGACCAGAATGCTTTTGCCTGACATTTCAGTAGCACAGCCGTGGAACTCAGCTAACAAAACGTATTCCATGCTCTTTAAATTGACCAATTCCACTGTTATTCTTGATTCTGTTACAAATATGCGTATTTTCATGTTCTCATTTGAATAGATGCTGATTTCGTCAGATACGCTGTTTACGAAGAGTGTTTGATGTAGATTGCGTAGGTCTCTATTGCATATTGAGCGTAGATCTCTGCTATCTTCTGGCTTGATTCTGTATCTAAAGATGTCGAACCCTATAAAATGCATAATTTATGCATGATATTATTTATGAACCAAATAAGCTTAAATACGAACAAATTCCACTATTAGTTTAACATAGGCTCTGTCCTCTTTTCGGCCTTCTTCTTCACAATTCTCCTTCTTAGCTTCTCGTAGTCGTTTTGCAACAGTCTCTCATTCTTAGTCATAAATGCCAGATCATGCATCTTTGATTGCTCCTTTGCCTTCATGATTCTATCAACTGTGGCTGCTCTATCAATCTGCTGCTTCTTCTCAATCACCAGTGGTATTGCTTCTACAACCTGTGCCATTCTTGCTCTGTTGTACATCATTGGCTCATCCATTCTACGCTCAAACTGTGCAATTCTGTCGTCCACAACGTCCTTTCCTCGCAGAATTCTGCTGATCTTGGTCCATTTGACTTTTCGTGGATTCTTCCTCAGTTTGAACAACTTGTGGCATTTTGATCTGCAGAAGTTGAATACGGTGCTATCACCGCGTACAAAAACAGTTCCCTTTCCTGGATAGATATTCGCAGAACAGAACCAGCATTTTTCAATTCTCATTCTGGGTAAAAATTTTGTATTTTCATTTGTTACCGTATTTTGCCTGATAATTCGTGCTCTTGCCTTTTCTGACTACTTCTTCCCAATTGAGTTGGACTATCAGAATGCTATCTGATAAAATAGATCCATGTTGTACAATTGCACCCAAATCAGTTCTATCACCAGTCAAATCAACCAAATACCTTTCATTTGTGCAATATTGCTGATTGATTATTTGTTTAAGCATTTCCCACGGCTTTATATTGTTCACTGTCTCTGTACTGATGACCTGACTCTTTTCGTTGAGTTGACTGATTTGATATTGATCACTAGATTTTGTTAGTAGCGTATTATTGGATGCATCAACTATGATGTTGCTGATTTTAGTGCACTCTATTGAATCTTCTTCAATGTTGTAGAGTGTGTTATCAAATACAAATGTGTTTTCATTCACCTGTAAAATTCTACAGATTTTATCACAGCTTATTCCGGTGTTGATTTCACTGCTTTCCTTGTAGTTGAAGAGCAGCAATTCGAATTCCTTGGTCAACATCACCAGATTGTTGCCAATGAATCTGAGACATCTGCAACCAGGCCACTTTTTCACACATTCCATTTCACCCTGTTTTATTTCGTACACATTTGTGCTATTATTCGTTGTTAGTGCAATATACGATCCATCATTTGATATATCACAATCCAGTATGATATTTTCAGTAGTTAATTTTATCAGGTGTCGTAAACCTGGTTTCTGCTCTTCAAAAATAAGTTTGGTGTTGTTGATTCTATTCAGAATATCACTAGTTGTTGCATTGTTATTGATTTGGTCTCTTGTTTCAATAGTATTGGTTGTTATTTCATAAATGTTCAATTTGTTACCGTCTGCTATTAACCAACTCTTCTTGCCACTTCTAACAAGCTCCTCTTCAAATATTCTCTTTACAAAAATATTGTACTTCTTGTTCCAGTCCACCTGAACAAATAAGCTGTCTTTTCCGTAACTGAATACATCACCATCAATTTCTATAAATCCATTGATGTTATCACAGTGTGCGGTATAATTGGCCTTATGAACTATTTTTCTTCCAACTGTATAAATCTGGTATCTTTGGTTGCTATTCACTATTACATCCCCATCTTTACAGACCAAACCTGTCGGATTTTCTATCATAATTTTGTCCAATACAACAAACTCCTTCATGTAGTACAGTGAATCACTATCAATCATCACATGTTCATTTTCTCGTAGTTCTGATACTCCCTTAATGATTCCTTTGAATTCACTTTCATTTATCAGTTTCATTTCCCTATCAAAAACATTTAGCGTATTGTCTTCAAGTGACACGAATATTGTTTCTTTTGTAACAAATACGCCTATTATTCTGGTAGTAAATCTCTTGATGATTTCGTCATCGAAATCTAGTATTTCTTTCTCAACCCAATACATTTTGTTGTTGATTAGGCCACCTGTTCCTTTGATTTCTAGAATGCTAAAATCACTTGTATTGAACTCGTATATCTTATTGTCAGCTGTAGAAACTAAAAGATTGTTGTTGAATCCCTCCACTATCCTTTCTATTTTCAATTTCACATCAATTCTACACACAAATTTATGCGTCAGTAAATCAACGAGGTCAATAGTTCCATTTTCTCTGAACAGAAACACAGACTGTCCCCTTCCAAAGGAGCAAGTTATTCCACTGAAACTGGCATTCGTCTTGTGTACAGTCAGTTGCATGTAGGCTAAAAATTTTATAAATTCCCTTTATGCATAATGCGTTTTTTATAAGTCTTTTAAGCTTAAAAACAAACAAATTCACTTACCTTTATGCACAGTACCCTTAGAAAGCTTCTCGCATTCCAATACGAACTTTTTGTGATCGAATCTCGGCTTGTACTTCTCAACTGGCTTGTAGAGACTCGGCAAATAGGCCGCCTCTCCAAATATCGTGCTGCTAAACCCTGGTTTTATCTCCTCTGCCTCTCTTTGTATCAGGTGCTTTTCCACAAAAATCTCTTCCTCCATCTTCATATGCAACTTATTCATGTATTCGTCACTTAACAGTCCCTTTTTGTAGAGCCTGTCTGCTGAACTCTCTTCCTCGCGTAGTGCTTCTGACACCTCTGTCAGATACTTCGCTGCTCTCAGAAGCTGCGCCTTCTTTTTGTTTGGCTTCTCGTAGTAGAATTCTTCTATGTATTTCAGGAACTCTGGATTGGTTGTTTCCATCGATTCCTTCTCCTTCTTAATTCGTATCGTGTATAAAACGATGAAGCATGCCACCAGTAGACTAACAATAACAATGAACATTTTGGGGAGAAATAATTGGAATTGTTGTAATCAAGAGATGTATCTGTTTATACAGCAATTATAATTCTAATTTATTAAGCAAATTGATATTAACAACCCCAATGAACTATTTGATTGGATTCCAGGTTATTGCTGAAATCAGAACAGCATCAATGAATGCAATCAACGACGAGGAAGCAGGGTACATTGCATATAAGGCAGAATACAAGCACGATATAGATCGCCTTATGTTGTACAATACTAAATTTGTATTAGACCTTCATCAACTGACAGCTGCAGATTTTAGTGGATTGGAAACACTATTTGCATTGAAATGCCTTACGAATTCAGAGAATGCAAACAAAACAATTGTCAAATTGAGTCTATTACTGAAAATTCTGCCTAAAAAAATCATCAACCTGAAAAACGGTAATTTGATTTTTAATGATGAAACCAGAACATTCCTGTACAGCAACATGTATTGTTGTATGAAGATGACACTAAAAATACATCTGATACTCAAAGAAAGAAAGGTGCTCGTAGGCCATGCAGCATATTTGAGTGAAATGATATCAAAAAATGAGAATCTCGGGATATTTAAAGATAGCTCTCAATGGAAACAAACCAGTCTGATGCTAGTGAATTCAGTACAGAAATTCAATGCCATCGAATATGATTTCCAACAACTCAAGTGTATTACAGCAGAAATCAAAAATATCATTGACACAGCTTATTAATAAACGAATATGACAATATTCCTATATTTTGACCCTATGTTCTATTTGATTGTTCATTTACTGATATCAGTAGTGTTTTCTAGTGAAATTATCGTAGAAGAAAACCGATACAGTGATTATTTCAAATGTTACAAGGATAATATCAAGAAATTTCATGAAACCAAGGATAAATTCAACTTTGATATCAACACAATTACAATTACAGAATACAACATCCTCAAGGATGATTTAAAAGCACAATTTGTGTTCTTCGATGCCAGCAAAAAAGAACTCTTGATAAAATTGAAGTGCAAAATGAGACATTTGCCTGGAAAAATCAATAGTCTTGAAAAAGGTTCTACCAGTTCCTTTTTGCATGTCAAGAATAGGATCAGAATCAAATTGTACATTACGGCATATGATTGCCTAAATTTGCTCTTAAAAACTGATGAGATATTAACAGAATGTGTAATATTACAAGAGCATACTAAACTAATACATAATCCAATGATTGTTTTCAATCAAAATGAGGTTGTAGCAATTGATGATGAACTCTGCAGAATAAAGGCAAGTCTGAACATGGCATTATCACGTTCTATGCATATGGCAAAGAGGTATTATGATCTTAGAGATTCAATAATCAGAATTCAAGAAATCATTGCATCTATCGAGAATTCCAGCTGCATCAGTGACTAAACCTTATGAATTACTCAATAGTTCACTATTAGTAGAACCTGAATTGCTAAATATTTACAATATCAATGTTCATTCATATTTCTCCTATTTATTCTAAGAAATGTTCCATTTATCCCTTAAAATGGTTAAAGCAGCAAATGTCATTTCATTTACCAAAAAAGATACATGTGACATCAAAGTAGATAAAGAACAGCGAATCAAACAGATTCTACTGCTAGTTGCCCTGTTTATCATCTCATTCCTGATAGCGATGATGATAATTCTGCCACTTGAAATGAGATACCGTAAAAAAGCGTTTATTAAAGACATGAGCAAGAAAGGAAGTGATATCAACGCATTCAACCTTGATGAACTCAAGGAGCTGATGAATAGCAATGAATTTGCCCTGGACTACATTCAAGAAATTCAGAAGGAAATTGATTCATCCTACAATTCTGATAGGATGGATTCCCTAGGAAGAGAGCAAATGACTAGTTCTGAATTTGATTTATCCTCTGCCCTATTTACGCCAAAGAACCTGGGGAGCATCGTCGTTCAAAAGGCATTTCCAGACGGATCCTGTGGATACCACTCGATCATGGATGGAATCTACGACTGGTTGAAGGATAAGAACTCCAAACAGCACAAGAATTTCTTTGACAAGTCATTTGGAGATGGCTTGATCAATCCAATAGTGATTGACTATTTTCATGGCAAGGCATTGAAAGTTCTTAATTCATACAAGTCATACGGTGAGATTCCTCAGAACGAAACCGCCTATCTCAATCAGTGCCTGAGGATTATGAGTTGCATTGGGATGTTTAAGAAGAATGACCAATTCTGTGAATTTCCTGATGAAAAATACACTGATGAACTCAAATTGACGAAAATGATGAATACGAAGGAGTGGATTGGAACTGACGAGATTGAATTCATCTCAGAGGCATTGGAAGTCTCAATTTACCCCATCTACAAGATGGGAAATGCCGCAAAATACACAAATTTACCATTCCGTCATATAACAAATGTAGTACGACCTGAGACAATATTCTTGTTATTCAGGGTGAATCACTACGACAGAATAATTGATATGTAAGTGTCAGAATAGTAAAGTGTGACGGTTGTTGTGATCTCATCATTTTTGTTGTCTTGTGCAAATTTTCACAGATCCCCAATGTTTCTAGGCCTGGTTGTTCAAATTGGTGATGCGATTGCTGCTGATCTAGGACGCGTATTTGTATTAAATGGAAACATGATGGTGGACATGCATTACACAGTTGATCGCAAACAGGATGGCCACCTGGTTGAACCTAATTCATCTGCAAAATTGATGCAAATTGATCAATTTTATGATGTGTTCTATAATAATGAGCTGTATCACGTTGAAATGGTGGGATCAGTTGGATTTGTGACGCCAAAAGACATGATACTGAAGAATTGGGAAGTTAGTGACCAGCTTAGGAGTAGTCTTACGAGATTCGTTGAAGAGAGAACAGTAAAATGTGTACAGGAATTTATTGGGAAAATGAAGGAATCAACTGAAACCAAGTTGGAAAGATTTGATCCATCAAATGAGGAGGGAATGAATGACACTGTGATTTGCGTACATGAAGCCAGGTTCAATGTGGAGAAGGAAGCAGAAGCCAATCAATTGAATGATTGGGTAGTCACTTTGATGTATACGATCAGAAAGAGTAAGGAAATTGGTACTGGTGGAAATGGATCACCAAAAGATGAATTGAAGAATGCGTTGGTGAATTGGAGGGATACGCACGTTGATAGGGAGGAGACAGCAAAATCTGCTAGCGCAGGCACAGACACAGAAACAGACGAGATAGAAGAAGAAGTCTTTGAGCCAATTGAAAACGTGAATATTTTTATAGGAAATATGAAGCAAAAGGAATTCAGCGAGAAATGGCAGGGGATAATAAAGAAGATTGGCAGGGGAGAAGAGGAAGAAATTGATGATTAATTAAATGGGTCTCGAAAAAGGCAGCAGATACAGATCAAGTGATTTGCGTTATTAAATTGTGTCACACAAAGGTAAATTAGAAGATTGTTAAAAATCAGGTATTTCATGGATAGATTTATACCTGACAAACCATGAGTGAATTCATCGTTGTATTGAAATAATTGATCAATATTCAAAGTTAGGTCATTTTCATAAACACATTCTTTTCATCAAGTTCCAACACAAATCAACATCGATCATTTTCTAAGACTCTTTCAAAATTTCCTCTTTTTTTCTCCCATGTTTTTTAATCTGATCAGTTTCCTGAATATTGCGAGTTGCTCTGATAATGGAACAATATTCATTCTGAATGGCGGACTTGAGTTGAAACCTCATCCTGCAATTTCAGGACGAAAGCCTGATGAAAACGGCCACAATTTAGTTAATGATGATTTGCGTCAATCACTCTTCCTATTCAAACACCACCTTAGTTTGATTTACATGGATGATCACTACCACCTCAAGGTGAATGGATCAGTTGGTTTTGGATGTTTAGGAGCCATTACTCTAACAAACTTGTACATTCCTGATCGAATGAGAATGGAAATGTGTGAGTTTGTAGAAGAGAGAATTCTTTCTATGGCTAGGTCATTTCTGTGTCAACTTAACGAGAATAAAATTCCCGAATTATTGGTCTTTGATCAATCAAATGGCATTGACACAGTAGACACCACCCTAACCAACCAGAGATTCACGTTCAGACTGGATAACTCACGCCAAGAGGCCACTCACGCATTCCCCAATCAGCTAGTGATCAATATGGTTTATCAAATTCGTAAATCAAAGAGGCTTGATCTTGAAGCGGGTGAGCCTACAGCAGATGTTGTACTTAAAGAAGACTTTAGAACGAGTCTGAAAGAATGGAGAGAGGGGTGTGTTAAGAATCAGAATTCTGAGCCACCAGTAGCACGAAGAGCATTGAGTTTTGGTGGACCTTCACTTCAGCAAGTAGCTCATGGAACCCAGACAGAAGAAACTGCTACTGAACCACTAATGTTCGCTACAAGCCATTATTTCAGATCAGGCAATATCAAAAATGGATCATTTTTAAACAATTTTGCAACAACAATGAATGTGTTCAACCCAAATGTGAAGCCACCTATTTATCTGACAGTAGAACAGAGAGATGAATTCCAAGAGATTGTAGAGCAGTTGATACTCTATGATACAATGATTCTTGGTAGTGGAGATTTACTCAACGATTGAAGAGCATTCCTATGAATAAAGAATAGGCAACTTTAACCTGACTTAATTTTATTACAAGGGTAGTCATAATTTAAGTAGTCTTCACACAAACAAAAACCATACACTTTTTGTTTGTTTTTAAGCTTATTTTACATAAATATTCTCATTTTCACATAAACGAGGCGAGGGGTATTTTCCCAATTTTTCATCCCAAATGGACAACTTGTTCGACATCCTCGAGGACGACACGAAGCTGAAGAAGCCTGTTGAGTTTGGCGAGCGAACTGTGATCCACACCGTTGACTCCTACACGATGGACAACACTGTCCACGAGGCAGTGACTCCGAACAAGGAGGCCTACACCAAATTAGACATAAATCAGCCACTTCCTGCGAAAGACTACGCCTTCAAGTTGGACACGTTCCAGCAGATCGCCCTTGCTGCAATTGAGGCGGACCGAAGTGTCCTGGTCTCCGCCCACACCTCCTGTGGGAAGACGGTTGTTGCTGAATACGCAATTGCCAAGTCGATTGGAAACAAGCAGCGAGTGATCTACACCAGCCCAATCAAGGCGCTCTCGAACCAGAAATTCAGGGAGTTGCAGGAGGAGTTTGGTGATGTTGGGCTGATGACTGGTGACGTCACCCTGAACCCCGAGGCCACGTGCCTGGTGATGACGACTGAGATCCTCCGAAACATGCTCTACCGCGGGGCTGAGATCACCCGTGAAATCCACTGGATCATTTTTGATGAAATCCACTACCTGAAAGACAGGGAAAGAGGGGTTGTCTGGGAGGAGACGATCATTCTGGTCCGCGACTACGTGCGACTGATCTTCCTCTCGGCCACGATTCCAAATGCGCGTGAATTTGCCGAGTGGATCGCACGAGTCCACGGCCAGGTCGTCCACGTCCTCTACACCGAAAACCGCGTCATTCCACTGGTGCACTATTTCTACTCCGACAAAATGTACGAAATCAGGGGCGAATCAAAGACGGCTGCGATCTCCCTTGAGAACGTGGCTGCGAGCCAGGAGGCCGTGATCAGGCGAAACGAGACGGCCGATGCGCTGCTCGCCTGCCTCGATTCCATCAACCTCCCTGCCGTCGTCTTCTCGTTCGCCAGGACGCGATGCGAATACTTCGCAAACAAAGTCACCAGAAACCTCCTGACCGCGGATGAGTCCGCCTTGGCATCGACGATCTTCGAAAACGCGATTCAGTCGCTCTCTGAGGAGGATCGTGGCCTTCTGGCGGTGCAGTCGATGCGAGACCTCTTTGTTCGTGGAGTCGGCGTCCACCATTCCGGGCTGCTTCCGATCGTGAAGGAAATCGGCGAAATCCTCTTTCAGGAGGGGCTCATTCGAGTTCTCTTTGCGACCGAGTCATTTTCAATTGGGCTGAATATGCCAGCAAAGACAGTTCTGTTCACGTCACTGAAGAAGTTTGACGGGGTGGAAGAGCGTGCCCTGACACCAGCAGAATACTGCCAGATGGCTGGGCGAGCAGGAAGAAGGGGACTCGATCACCTCGGGGTCGTCGTGAGTCTGGTGACTGAGAAGATGCAGACTGAGGACGTGCTACGGATGTTCCAATCAGCAGCTGATCCACTCAATTCAGCATTTCGCCTGACTTACAACATGATACTCAACTTGATGCGCATAGAGGAGTTGGATCCAACCTACTTTCTGGAAAGGAGCTTCTACCACCACCAGGCGCATTCAGCAGCAGCAAGGAGGAACTTCAGTCTACGCGAATTCGACGATGATTTTGGAATTCTGGATCAGATCACCAGATACGGCAAGTTGCTTCTGAAAGAGGGAAGTGCCCTTGTTTCAGAATATCGAGATGGGCTGATGGCAGACAGAAACAGGCTGGTTGAGATCACCGAATTTAAGGAGGGCTGTTTCAGTCGAATTGAAGTCGGTGTCCTGGTTCAGTTTAAGACAAGTCACCAGGGTGGACCAGACTCAGTCACAGTTGGATTCGTATGCGATGGAGCAGTGGTTCAGAAGGACTTTCTGGCTGAAAATATCACAGGAATATTCGATAAGAAAATCAAGAGAATCAGTGACATTAAAAAAGTAGTGTCGATGGGAGTCGAACTCACCAGAATTGGTGGACGTGATTCATCAGGTAGAAATGAGCTGATGGATTTGAGAAGTAGAATTCTGGCTGATTCCAGGGTAGCAGCCCCATTCCGCCTGATGATGACCAACTGCTGCATTCTTTGTGGAAAGCAGACCTGTCTCTTTTCTGATGATGAAATCAGTCTGGATCCTCCTGATTCCATGAATCAGACAGTCTATAACTACCGTAAGACAGTCGTAAACAGAATCAGACTCAATCAGCAGAATGAGCGTATTTCTGAACTAAGGAAACTACGTGAAATCTACCACATGGATGAGTGTAGGAAGATGATTGGAGTTCTACGCGATCTCGACTTCCTGGACGGCAACACCGTCAAACTGAAGGGGAAGATGGCATCTGAGATATCATCAGCCGATGAGATTCTTCTGACTGAAATGATATTCAATAGCGCATTCAACCGCCTTACAATTGAGAATGTGGTTGCACTGGTGAGCATTCTGGTCACTGAAAGAAGCAAAGAGGGAAATGACATTGTTCTGAGTGACGCAAACATCAAGGCAGTTGAACTGTTCAATGCTTCAATTGATAAAATAGTTGAATCACTGAACAGAAATGGAATTGATACCACTCGAACTGAGTACGTCCAGAACTACTCATTTTACATGATGGACATTGTGAAGTTGTGGATGGGTGGAGCATCATTTGCTGAAATATGCAAGGGCACAAACGTGTTTGAAGGAAGCATCATAAGAAGTTTCAAGAGACTCGAGGAATTATTGAGACAACTAAGCAGTGCTGCAACTGTCATAGGCAACAATGAGTTGGTGAACCTGTTTGGTCAAGGAATATACCTGATTAAGAGGGATATTGTATTTGCAAACAGCCTATACATATAACTGTGTATTGTTATAGCAGTGTATACTGATATGACAATATGTTGATATAACTATATACATACTGCTATATCTCCACCTTCTTCTCTTTCTCCCCTGACATCCTTATTCTTCTTATCAACCCCTCTCTAAATCCATTATTCTCCCCCATCATTGCCTCTACCACAATACACTCATTCACATCCAGTAGTTCAATGCTACCAACCAGTATCCTAATAGCCCTTGACACACATCCACCCCTTACATACTCCCTTATTCTACTGAATATCCTCTTTCTACTACACTTGCTCCTCTTTACTCTTTTCACTAGTTCACCAATATTCCTACTACAGTATTCCACCAGTCTATCACTATCAAATGCGTGTGACAGAATGAGTTCAGCATCAGTCAGGGTGGATAGTGCACCAATTGAGTCAATGTGGACTATTCTACTGGTGAATAGACCAATATTGATCAGTCTGGTGGTGAATGAGTCGATTAGGCTGGTGGAGAACGAGTCAATCAGGCTACGAAGAACGGCTCTCAGTGACTCAACAAACTGGTTTCCAGTTGATGGCTGATCGTGGACCTGATCAATGGTCATTTTGAGTGAGATCCATTTTGGAACAAGAAATTCAACGAAGTCAACCAGAATCGGAGATGGTCTCAGGTGAATCAGGTTGGCCCCAACTGAGGCGTAGTCTCCGTTTGCAATGGCCCAGAATGCCCTATAGAGAATCACCTGGTTGGATTGGTCCTCTCCAACAATGCTGCCTATTTCACCACACTTTTCAGCCACAATATCGAACCTATCAAAGTAGACCAGAATGTGGTGGTACTGATCAACCTGTCTGAGAAAGTGATCAATCTTGTTCTGGTCGTATCCGAGGCGACTCAGGTGGTGGAGCAGGGCCACCGTCTTCTTCTGCGCCTTCCTTGTGTTCAGGAGCTGCTGGATCAGGGAGTTGGTTCCATCAAAATCAGTTGAATAATTTTGAACGAGAAGAAGGTGATCGATGAGGGCGGCCAGGGTGGTCTCCTTGTCCTTGACCAGGTCGATGACGTGGTGGAGCTGGTCGATGACGGTGTCGTCGTAGTTGAAGGTGACGTCCCTGAGGATGTGGCCGATTTCAGGCGAGTTGGCTGAGACCACTGCTTCAACGAGGGCGCCAAAGCCAAAGAGGCCTCGAAAGAGGGGGGCTGCCTGGTTTAGGGAGAGAAGCGAGTCAAAGGCAGCCACGTCACTGATTCCACCAGGAAGCAGAATTCTACTACACTTTCTCATAACTGCCTTAGTGAGGGTGATATGGGGGTGATTTCTGGAATAGGCCAGAATTGTGGGAGTGGGGTTCTCTGTTTCAGAGAGAAGCAGCGTACGAAGTGCTGGTTCGGATCCAATTCGAAGCAGCTTCGACCTGTGCTCAGGTCGAAGGAGACCGACTGAGCCCGTCTTGGCCAGGACGTGGATGGTTTTGGCCGCTCTCTTTCTGGCAGAGGCAACTGGGTCACTGAGGAGACTGGCTGAAATGTGGAAGGCCGTTTTGGGCTGAATTCTACCAGATTTGACCAGTTGCTCTACCGTAGTAAGAATGGATATTCGAATATGCGAGTCTACGTCCCTGTGGCGGGCAACGAGGACAGTTTCGATAAAGGTGGTGGATGGCTGGCCGTGAATCAGCGAGTGGCAGACCATTCTGGTTGCAGTCAGTCTCAGACTCCTCTTCTTGGACTCAGTGAGGCCAATGACCTCATTTATGTCGTAGTTGTCTAGAAGGGTGAATAACTCATTAAGCTTATTCTGGGGCAAATTGGACTGGGAGACAGACTGGACCAGGGAGACCAGGTCGCTGGTGCAATCGGCCTTAGCCTTCATCGTGGCCAGGATACTGGCCACGCTGTGCGTCTCAAAGAGCGCATCCTCGGTGTACGCGATATTAGTCAGATTCTCAGTAGGCATAAAGAGGGGTATAAAATAGTTTATGCTTCAATGAACAAATTACGCCTATACTACGATGTCTTCGACGACTTCCTTCTCGTCCAGCTCGGCCGAGCCAAGGCCAAAGACCCTTTCGGCCACCTTGGCCTCCACCGTCGTGCTTCTTCTTCCCATGAAGCAGACGTAGTCGTTTACGACCACCCCGCTTCCTACGCCTGCCTTTCCCTTGTTTATCGTCGATCCAATCGCATCGAGCCGAAGCAGCCTCGACATCTCCTCTATTTCTGCCGTATTCATGTTTGGATGAACAAGAAGGCCCCTTGAATTCATGGCCCCGTACGACCCAACCAGTTTCTCTGGGCCTAGGCCTGTTTTGTAGACTGGAACTCCTAGGACGTCTTCGAGAACATCGGTGTTAGAGAATTCGGGATTCACGATACAGACGTTATCGTTGCAGAGGACGTTGTTTCCAATCGCATTGAGCTTGTCGTAGATTCGCACGACCCTGATTGACTCTGGCAGCGAGTTGCGGATGTGCATCAGCTCCTGATCATTGATCAGATCACTGCAGACTACGCCATTCTTGTTGCCTACGATCAGATTCCCAACTGTACGGATGTTTCCTACGGTTGTCTCCACGATTGGAATCTCCAGCTTCTCTCGAAGGAAGTCAACCAGATTGTCGCAATGGGATCGGCCTACGATTGCGTACGTGTTGGTCAGACAGACGTAGGCGGATATCTCACTATTTCCCTCAAAATCAATTTTGAAGTGCATGGGATAAAAATAGCAAAATAGCAAAGAAGTGGCCCAGATGACTGAGACTGAGAACAAGGTGACTGAGACTGAGGGAGTATCGGTGTCATCGAGGATAATCAGGTGGAATGACGCATTCATGAATGGATTCAAGGACACTCTTGATAATCTGGTAGAAAGAGTGCCACTTGGAATAAAAGAGAGAATAAACAAGGATTCAGAGAGGATGATTTGTGTATTAGGTGGATTGTTTGTGATATTGGATAAGTTAGTTAAATAGGTTAGTTAAATAAGTTGCTATTATTGTTGCTATTGTTATTATTGTTGCTAGTCATGCAATCTCCCTAACTACATAACTAACTACTATAATAAGATTACTACATTTCTACATTTTCACCCTAATGTTGTTTAGAATTCTTAGAGTCATTCTTGATTTCGTAGATCCAAAACTGGACTATCGTGGTCAGCAACTAAACAACCGTATTATGATAGGGCTGTTTGTGGTAGGATACACGGCCTCAACAGCAATAGGGTGGCTTCTTAGAGACTTCAGCTACATTCTGTACGGATGCGTTCTAACAGCATTGCTAAATGCATTATTGACTGTTCCAGCCTGGAAAATGTACAGGAGACATCCACTGAAGTTCAAGAAGCACAAAAATGAGTAATCAAATTGGTCAATTTATGCATAATATCATCCTAAAACACCTTACTAAACTTCTTCTTACTTGGCTTCACCATTCCACGAATTATCGCATGCTTGGCCCATCCAACCAGAATGGTCAGAACGGGAAACAGAATCAGCAGATTCACCATTCTCCTGATCGTCTTGGCCTCCTCGATGTTCTTGTTTTGCTGTGTGTTGTAGTAGTAGTTCTCAGACCTGAGATTGTCCATGTGGGTGCTCAGGGTGTGAAGGACGTCTCGTAGCTGGTCTATTCCTGCGTCAGTCTCCCTCTCCTTCTTGCTCACGTAGCAAGACATGCTGTAGTAAATGGTCTTCTTTGATGCATTTGTTACCATAATGACGTATTCACCTGGGGCAGTAAACTTCTTCTTGTAGGGCGTCTGTTCCACTTTCTCACCCATTTCGTCAAAGTAGCTCGATTCATCGGTGTCGTCCGAGTCGCCCTCGTTCTCCTTCTTGGCCCTGCTCGATGGCTTCTTCACTGTCACTCTGAGTCCCTTGATGTTTGCTGGTGGCGTAATCTGCACCAGAAACTGCTCGTCTTCTGTTGTCACCTCCTGGACGTACGTGTGCACCTCTTCTACCATGAGATCCCTGTCCCTGTTTACGAATGACTGAATCAAGCCAAACAAAATGGTAAGCATGGGCTAATTACCGTCTTAGTTAAATAAATGGTGAAATGGTACCAATTTATTGCTTAATTCTGTTTCGTACACTAAGAACGTGCTGTTTGAAGGGGTCTCCATTTGCACCAAAGTGCCCTATGATTTTGTCCAAATTATCAAGGTGCTGGACGAATAAACCAGATTGAAACCCAAGTGTCACAAATGATCCGTACTGTCTGTTCAACAGGTTCTTGAACGTATCCGAGTCCTTCTTAATCAGCAGTGTCTCCACCAGTGTAAGCAGGTAGACCAGGTTGTTGTAGAAGTACTCACTACCAAACTTATTGAATCCCTTTAGAACTTCCTTGCTTACCAAATTGGTCAATTCCTTCTTATTTTCATCACTGTTTTCCATTGGATAGAGGAAGCCAATCATCACGTTGTAGTCATCTGGTCTCTCTGTCTTCTCAATGATCTCCCTGTACGTCAGAATGTGTCCTGTTAGACCGTGTTTGGTTGCTGATTCTTCATATTCAACAGGATCCTTGCTGTTGTAGTAGAAGATGAGAAAGTGGCACTCAAACTTGTTTGTGACAGTCTTCATCAGGTTATGGAACATCTTCCTAGGCATATAGTGATATTGGTGTTTATAACGGTATTCATCACCCTGAATATTGTGAACTGCTATAAAGAGGTTGTCTTGTGCTACGCCAATCTCTTCTTCCTCAGCCCCAGTTGCTATCAACGCATCCAACTCCCTGGGACTCAGATTGCTGTAGTCTTCTCTCAGTCCGAATACTTCGTTACTTATTTTTCCAGTTAAGCACTGGCTGAATTCACCAATTTCAAAAAGATATTTTCTAACGTGTGTCCTCTTAATGTGGTACTTCTTATCCAGTTTGTTGTTTATGAAGAGTAGTAGTGTGATAATAAATACAACTAGCGTGATAATACCAATGATCAGCAGAAGAATGTCATGTGATGGTTTTTTGAAGAATCCTGTTTTCATTAAGGGGGTATTTGAGTAGTCACCAGAATAGGATCCAATTTAGTAGGGTACAATTCTAGTAAGATATTTGTGTATGAATAAATTCAACCTAATCAATTGAATGACAGACAGAAAACCACCAGTAAAAATAACAGCGTGTGATAAAGTGGACGAGAATCCATTTGTGAGAGAGTACGAGAGGAAAGAGAGCAGGCCAGTGGTGAAGGAGAAGGTAAAGAGAATTTTGAAGCTGGAATTGTTGCAAAGAAAAATAGTCAAGGCGAATCCAAAGAAGACACAAAAAAGGAAGTCAGGAATCGTGGAAGACGTGAAGATAATAGCACAGAATGAGATAGAATTCAACAGGGATGGAGAAATCAAGTACTACGTCTATCCATGCACAATAGAGGGCACATTTCTATCACACCTGGCATCTGCCCTAAAGTGTGCCCATGATAACTACAAAAACAGCCTGAAATATTTCTACGTGAAATTGAACAGGGGTCTAATCAAATTTGAGAGAGAAATATCCTGTACCAGTGATATCAAAAGAGATTTGATTGAGAATGACATAATGCACCACAGTATCAATGGGAAGATTGTGGTGACTGATACATCAAATATGATGGTTGATATGCTCTCCAATCTAAGAAGAAGCAGAATCAAGGAGTGTATTGTCCTATCAAGGGATGAGTTTGAGTATGGATCAGTAAGGATATTTAGGGTAAAGGAGACCAAGATAATCAGAATGGGAGAGACAAAACGATACTACTACGAGACAAGTGGAATAATGTATTTGGAGGATATTAAGACAGAGGAGTATGAGATAGTCAATATTGAATAAATAGCCCATGGCATTATTTATTGAAAGAGTAGTTGGGTTTCTTCTAAGTCCAGTTTATGACACCAAGGGAATACTTGAGAATGAAAGAGTGGTGAATGTGACTGAAAACAGTCTGATTGAGGTAACAACGAGGGAATTGGAGGAGAATCAACCTGTTTTGAACAATTCCACGGTGTGTTTGATTGGGTTGTCTGTGCTTTTATCAGGACTTGTGTTGTACAGGACGATCAATTGTGTGATTAAGAGAAGGAGATCAGGATCAGCTGATTTGTCAAGAACGATTTAAATGAAAAAAGTTGAACCTGATATTGATTTACTAATATGGTGTCTTAAAGAGTGAAATAAAGAACCCCATGTTCTTCTTCTTTAACATGATATACGGGGTTGGTTTCCTTCCAGTATTCAAAGTGATTCATAGGATGATTAATCAGAATGAAACGGCAGAAGAAGTGATTGGGACAACCACTGCAGTACCTGATCCATCATACTCTACCTTAAACGGTAATGTTCCATGGATTATTGGAATTTGTTCGGCATTGTCACTTGTGATGATCTTTGGTTTGATTAGGTGTCTAATCAGAGGAAGAAGATCAAGAAGAATTGATATTGGTCTGAGTGAGATGAACACAGCTGCAAATATGAAATGAATGAATTGTATAACATATTTGTATCCAGTATTACTTTTTCAATAACTGATATTTATACCTGTATTTGATTCAACCCATGTTTTACTTTTATTCAATGGTATTTGCCTACTTGTTGAGTCCAATATTCAATCAAATTGATCAGATCAAACAGAGGAAGCCAGTGAATTTCACAAATGCGATCGACTGGCATTATGGTGGCCAACAACAGAATCAACAAACCAGTTTACCTGAACACAACATTTCAATCTGTATTACAGTGATATCAGTTGTCATTGGAATTGGATTGATCATTAAGCTGATATCGTATATTCTAAGTAGAAAATGCATGCCAGCTGTACCACCAGTTGATGAGACAGAGATGATTGATTATTATTGATTTTACAATTTGCTATCCTACTGATTTAAGCTTATTTTACTAATAAAACGTGTTTTGATCCATGGATGGCCAATAAAACAGAAGATCATTTGCTTTTAGATGTATCAAATCAGGTAATGGATTACAACACATTAATCTTGATACTATCATTAACAATAATAGGCGTATGTCTGACTACTTATTGTGCATTATGGTGCTATTACAAGATAAGAATAGAAGGTGCAGCATTATTGATACAGGAAGTAGAAATGGAGATGGCTATGCACGATAACAACAGACAAATGAGCATACGTTCACGTATTAATTAATTAATACTTGTTTTTTAAACTATTTTTTAATCATATTCAGGCTATGTTGAATCTTAAGAATGAAACAATTGCTGTTTGTGAAATACAAAGGGAGTTGGTATTTGGATTGGTGTTTGTGATCATGTTTCTAGTTGGATTACTGTTTTATTGCACTTTATGGCATTGTACTTTTATTGCATCAAGTAATAGAATTGTTCACAGTAATCAGCGCAATAATCCAATTTACCAGCCTGATTAATCATAAATTGCCTATTGAAGATGTTAAACAATTTGTAATTATTCTAATCACCCCAGTAATATAAATGAGTAAAACATTTAAAGACAAAAAAATAACTCGTGGGCAAATACAAAAGAAAATAAACGAGGAAAATAGGAAGGAAGCAGAGAAGATTGAAGCAGAATTACGCGAGGCAGAGCGGTGGTACGATCCAAAACGGGTTACGAAGTGCGATATACGAAAAGTGCGGGACATTGATACAGTTAAAAAGAAGGAGATACTTCGTAAGAAGTACGAGGAGGAATACAACAACATGTGATAAATTTATTGCTTACTCAATCGTAGAAAGGCCTCCTTGTTGATGATTTCAATGTTTTCGTCATCCGCTATTTTTACATAGGATTGGAGACTTCTTTGTATCGTAGCACTGTATTTCTTGTTGTTATACGTCAAATAGAGGGTGTCTTTGACTACGTAGACGTCTGAAATGGCATCCATCTTTATTTTATGTGTTACTAGGATGAATTTGTTTGTTTTAAGCATATTTAGGCATAAATACAGAATATTTAGTTTATTCTCACAGTCCTCTGAAGTACGAGCGTATTCTCCTCATTTCATCCACTTCTACGCTCACTTTCTCCTCTTTCAGCATCCCTTCCACCTTCTTAAGACTACTCAGCATTTTTGGCATTTGTTCCATTTTGTCGGCCAATCCACCGTGTTCCCTGCCGCTATAGTTCATTTTGTATCCATCGTAGCCTCTTTCTGCCCCCACATGTTTGTATAACACATTTTCCTTTATCTTCTGTACAACATTTTCCATGTAATAATTTCTGTATTTCTCCAATGTATCCCTCCTTGTAAAACACAAATCCAAATATTTCTCATTCATCTTATCCACCTTCTTTGGACTCACAGTTTTATCTGTTTTCTCTGTTCTCTTCTCCAAAATACTCTCCATTTTCTCCAATAAGTCCCGATCCTTCTTTCCATCTCCTACTAATTTTCTAACCTGTTCCATTATTATTCCGACTGACTCCACTTTCACCTTACAAGTATCATCCTTGTTCTCTGCCACTTTCTCATTCTCTATCTTCTTTGGTGGCTTAATACTCTTCTTCCGTCCACTTTTTTTCAAAGTGTTTGACAATTTTCTCATGGGCCTTTTTGAATAATCTTTTTTTGCCTACAAATGGCAGTATCAAAAATTAAAAGAGCCCAAACCAATAAAAAGAAACAGAAAATAACTAAAACAGAGCATAATGAAACAATAGAATACGTCAGCATCATAGACAAGTCATCCATAAACAACGAATCAGTACAAATCATCTTAAATGAAATTGGTGCTGATTTAAGTGACGTAATATCATCAGATGCGTGCATTGATACCATGAAATGTATTGTAGACCAATGCAAAGCAACTGAATTACTTGAATTATTCTGCAAAATCAACTTAGAATGCATCTACAAATTTGCTGGAGCCAAGAATATCGAAAATATTCTTGCCAAAATGAATGAAATCAACCAGACCAATTGTACAGACTCATTCTGCAATACTGTACTAGAGAAGTTCAACCAAATTGACATCAACAACCTGATCAATGATGAAAACAGTTCTCATGCATTCAGAAAGCTCCTTACACTTCTCACTGGCAAAATAATCTACAAGAATGACGTGGTTTCTGGATTCCACCCAGATAACAAATTCATTCTTCAGTTCAAGAAGAGTGTCCTGCTCCATTACGTGTTTAGGGAGAACTCAAAGGATACTGTTTGGATTGGACTGATGCATTTCATTCAGGCAACAAAGAGCCAGAAATTCATCAAAAAAAGCATTGATTTCATGATTGAGAATGTTAAAGAGAGAAGGAAGAAGAATGGGACTGAACTAATCTCTAATTTCATGAGAAATAAGGCATTCTTCTATGAGAAAGTGGCCGAGTTAGCAAATGACTCGAATAGTGCACTTCTGGTTGATTTTATCAAAAATGACCTAAGAAGCCTACAAATCAAGCAAAATTATCTAGTACAGAAAATACTAAGGCATAGTAGAACAAATCTGATTGAATACCTTGATATTGATGAAGACTGGGGGAATAACGTGTTCATTGCTGCTATGATCAATCTCCTGAATACAGGAAAGAGCAACATGGTTGAACAGTTCATAGGAAGAAAGGAAGGAGTAGCAAAAGCAGGTGTATTCTACACATTCATCCTAGAAAGATATAACAACGAAGTAGATACGAAATACGTTGATTTGGTCTGCAAAATGCTACAAAACGGCAATGATGGTCTCGAGAACACTGGCAGCAACAAGATAGCAGGGGATTTCGTGAAATATTTCAACAAGAAAATAATCAACAGCAAAGCAGGAAAGAAGCTGCTGATGGCATTTGCTGAGTCGAAATGCGACCAGGAGATCGTGAGCGGCTTCTTTGACCAGAATATCGAGTTATTTTATGGAATTGAAAAATGGGATAATCTTCATAAATTCATGCATAGAGTTGCAGCAGTCACCAGTGGAAAAACGAGAAACAAGGCATGTGAAATTCTGAGAAAGTCGAAACCGTAATTTGGTACAAATATTTCACCCATGTCCGCACTCACCTCTTTTGATGCTTTCATTAGGGCTCTTTTGCTGCTTGTAGTCACCGTCACAGTTGCACAGCGTAGATTCCCGTCCTTCTTTGAGAAGAAAGAGGGTACATCCAGCATCTACACCAAATTGACGATTGTGGGAGAGAGACTCAGCCTCTACGTCTCCCTCATCCTCCTCTACCACAACATTAGGAAGTTTGTTGGCTTCTTCGTATAAAACAACTAGATAAATAGTCAGGTGGTATCCCTGTTTACTCCTTCTTGTTCCTCAGTTCCACGTACTTCTCTTTGATTATTTTGTATTTTTCAATCATGTCATTTTTCCTACTCAATTCCTTCACCAGTATCTCCTTTTCTCCTACCACTTTCCTGTACAATTCCTCCCACAATTTCACTTCCTCTTTCACCTCCAAAACAAGTCTAATTCCCCTTTCTACTTCTTCAATTGCCTCCCTACTTGCATCCTGACTCCTCTGATGCTGCTTAATCAACTCATTGTACCCTGTTTCTGCCTCATTCAGACGCACCTTCATCTCTCTCTCTTCCTCTCCCTTTATTCTATCAAATTCATCCTTCAATTTCGTGTATTTCTCGTACAACTCGTCGTACTCCTCCTTGATATCACTCAGTTGAACCTGTTTAGTCTGAATAGCCGTCTGGGTGCTATCCAACTCCAATGTGCTATTCTGCTTATTCTCCTCCTCTTTTACCCTGTTCAACTCCTCCTCCTGTCTCCTACACTTTTCACCCATTTCTTCCAATCTCAGCCTCATTTCCACCATCTCATCCATTTTCTCTTTTTCAGCCCTGCTCATTTCGTACTTCTCTTTCTCACCCCTCTCTCTCATCTGCCTCATTTCACCAATCTGCTTCTCAATCATCTCCTCCTTCTCTTTCATTTCCAACTCCTTCTCTTCCATCCTGTTCTTCATCTCCAAAATGTCATTTGCCTGTTCCACTATTTTGTGTTGATACACCTTCTCATTCACCTCATTACACTCCAACTCATTAATTCTGTTACTGTATTTCTCAATTAGTTTTATTAAATCAGGATACGTATAGTCATTCAAGTCAGTCTCAATCAGCTGATTTGTGTACAACTTGCTTCTGAATTCCACCAGCTCATTCCTCTCAATGATCTCCCTCAGTTTCCTGTTTTCTTCAAGGAGTAGTTGAATGCGTCTCATAAATCAGGGCTAAAAATAAGAAGTGTATTTTACATGTAGTGATAGATCAGTCATATTAGTTTAATAAATTGGTGTCATAAATAGGGGTAAATATAGTGAAAATACAATAACCTGAAATGCCCATTTTGAACCCTCATTTCTTCCACGATTTACCTAATTAGTTTAGCAGTCACTGTACTATTACAGTAGCCACCACCCTGATCAATATCTCTGTTGCCTCTTTTTTGAAAAGTCAATTCTGATATTGTCACCAGGCTGAAGACTGCCCTTGTCTTCCAGCATCTGCTTTGCTTCTCGTGCATCATCGATGCTATCGAATGTCACAAACCCAAATCCCTTGCTGCGCCTGCTATCCCTGTCCTCAATGACGGTGCAATCGAACCTGAACTTCCCAACGTGCTGGCACAGGACACTTCTGAAGTCATCGGTGGTCATGTCGCCCAGGCCAAAGATGATCAGCACCTCACTTGGCTCACTGTCGTATCGCCTAGGCCCACGTCGATCATCCTGCCTGTAATCATCTCTCCTGTAACCATCTCGATCATCTCTCCTGTAGCTGTCTCGATCATCCCTTCTTTCATCGTAGCGACTTCTTCGATCATCGTACGACATCCTTGGTCTCTCATCCCTCCTATCGCGATCATCTCTTCTTTCTCCCCTACGATCATCGTAGCCACCTCTTCGATCATCTCTTCTGTAACTGTCACGATCATCGTATCCGCCTCTACGATCATCCCTCCTGTAACCATCTCGATCATCTCTTCTGTAGCTGTCTCGATCATCTCTTCTNGGCCCACGTCGATCATCCTGCCTGTAATCATCTCTCCTGTAACCATCTCGATCATCTCTCCTGTAGCTGTCTCGATCATCCCTTCTTTCATCGTAGCGACTTCTTCGATCATCGTACGACATCCTTGGTCTCTCATCCCTCCTATCGCGATCATCTCTTCTTTCTCCCCTACGATCATCGTAGCCACCTCTTCGATCATCTCTTCTGTAACTGTCACGATCATCGTATCCGCCTCTACGATCATCCCTCCTGTAACCATCTCGATCATCTCTTCTGTAGCTGTCTCGATCATCTCTTCTGTAGCTGTCTCGATCATCTCTTCTTTCTCCTCTACGATCATCTCTTCTTTCTCGATCATCCCTTCTTTCTCGATCATCTCCACCTCGATCTGTCACTGGTCCCAATACCGCATCTGCTTTGGATTTGAACACCTTCTCCTCCTTCTTCTCTTCCTCTTTCTCCTCCTTCTCATCCCATCCAGAATACTGAACTTTCTTTGCTGGTGCCATGGGTAAAATTTGCACTCTTTTTTCAGTCACTGCCTCTCAGACGAAGACAGCCCCAGAATCTCATTTTGGATTCGAGTCACCAGGAGAATCCGCATGGCATTGGATCGCTCACTCCTGGTCGTAGACGCATCGAGAGCCCTCTCGTAGTGGACAGTCTCCTTCGTCTCATTTCCAAGCAGAATATGCAACTTATAGCACATTTTATCCAACTTAAGTGCACCAGTCAAAATATCCATTTTCTTAGGCGACCTGATTNTTCTCATCCCATCCAGAATACTGAACTTTCTTTGCTGGTGCCATGGGTAAAATTTGCACTCTTTTTTCAGTCACTGCCTCTCAGACGAAGACAGCCCCAGAATCTCATTTTGGATTCGAGTCACCAGGAGAATCCGCATGGCATTGGATCGCTCACTCCTGGTCGTAGACGCATCGAGAGCCCTCTCGTAGTGGACAGTCTCCTTCGTCTCATTTCCAAGCAGAATATGCAACTTATAGCACATTTTATCCAACTTAAGTGCACCAGTCAAAATATCCATTTTCTTAGGCGACCTGATTCCACTCCTTCTTTCTGAGTATTCCACTGCCTGATACGTGATCAGGGCGTATCGTACGTCAATTGATGGATCAATGAGACCAGTCAGGGCAGATATCCTCTGATCGTCCTCGTTCAGCAACGAGTGCTCCATCAGAACACAGATCAAATTGATGAAACAGTTTTCATTTTTCAGGCTACTGAATTCACCCAATTTGATTCTACTGAAGACGGAATCAGAGTATTCGACCAGTTCGACTGAGGCTGATTCAGATCCACCAACAGCCAACTTGATCAGGTTGATCAGTTTGTGGTGCATCAGAATCACCCTTTCAACAGGTGTCAGGTCTCCATTTCCAATTTTCACCAGAAACTCCTTCTGCTCCTCAATTCGCCCTAGCTTATCAAGCACCTTGCTGTACAGAAATGGATGAGTCTCAGACTCAGTGACCAGGCAGGTCGAGATGCCGTGGTAGACAGCAACCAAATCAACCAGCTGCCTGTTCGAACTGCTTCTGCAGCTGCCAAAGATGTTCTTGGCCCATTTCAAATTGCCCTTTATGCACTCATCCATTCCCAGTTTGAGGGCACTTCCAAATGACTCAGAATCGCAGCCAAGCAGGTCGTAGAAGTCTCTCGTCTTCACGTCGCTCACCCTTGAACTGTACTTCTCCACCATCTTCCCACACTCCTCTTCCACGTACTCCTCCAACTTCATTTCTGCCTCCAAATTGTACTTCCTGCTTTCAGCAGCCTCTCTCTTCACGTCCAGCATCGTTATGAACAGAATGGCCCTAAATGCCTCCTCCTTGTTCTCCCCCCACTTTCCGTATAATGCCCCTGTTATTTCCTCACCACTGTAATTGCTCAGAATCCCCCTATAATCTCTCTTCTTGAACATTCTTCTTATTCTCTCCTTCTTGCTTCCTCCTCTTTTGAAGTATCCAATTGCCAGACAGACTGCTCCAACTGCCACTGCTGCAATTATCCTCTTATCGCTCTTATCCATTGGGGCTGCCACAAAACAGTCTCAAATCTCAAAATGCTCCTGATTCATTTATTCTTAGGCTGATTCTATTTGCTCTATAATTCGTCTACTTAGGCAGCTGGGGCTGCAACAGGCTTCTTAGCCTTCTCATTGAGGTTCTTGGTCGAGAACGAGTCTCTCGTCGACAGCAAACTGTACATTGGGTCACACGTGTTGTCACAGTCAGCGTACTTTCCTTCTGTCGTCTGCATGAAGTCAGAACATGGCCTGCAATTCAGCGCCTTCGACTTTGGCTTCTCGTTTGGCTTTCCTTCTGCTGCGACCAGGTCTCCAGCACTGTTCACCTTCACGGAGTATCCTGGCCTCTTGAAGAACGACTTGCACAACTTCTCTGGCAGTATCACGGTGTATCGTGGCTCCTCGTAAACCAGCATCAGTAGAACAATTCCATCTGCATTTGAGATCTCAGCCACGTTCGAGAACACGTTCATGTTGTACTTGGCATTTCGAAGCCAGTCATCCAGGGCTGCCTTCGTGTAGCAGTTCTTGCTTCTCTGGTCCAGCTTCTGGACGCACGTCTTAGGCATTGGCTTGCTCATCTCAGTTCGAATCAGCTGCTCCACGTTCGAAGCCACCTTCACGAGTCTCTTCTTCTTTTCAGCAACGCAGTTTGCCAGCTCAATTGGATCTGGCTCGTTTCGTTGCACCTGTCCGTCAATGGCTGTCTGCCTCTCCTGCACCGCCTTCTGGCACTCCGCCTGTGCCTTCAGCTTCGCTGCCTCTGCTTCCGCCTTCAGCCCAGCAAGCTGCTGCTGTACCTGATCTGGTGCTGCCATTCCTGCTGCCGTGAATACCACTGCGAGAATGCTGTAGATGCTCATACGACTCATGATGCTAAACAATCTGCATTTTTAAGACAGAAGATAAAACAGTGTTTCATAACAAGCCACACACATCTGAAACGGGGAGTAGGGGTAGTTATGTAGGAGATGGATAACTAGGGGTAGTTATGTAGGAGATGGATAACTAGGGGTAGT